TGTGGAAATGTGAACATGGACCAAATAGTTATTGACAAGGCTGTTAATTTTCTGAAGAGCATGAATGGCCATGATTGCAGGGACAGTGTCCTTATTTTTAGGAGATACATACTAAAGTGCTCAGAGAATGAAGCACGATGTCTGCAATTTATTTCTGAAAGTTCACCAAAAAACGGACACGGCCAGTATGGCAAAACGTTGGCGCTTATAGAACGAAGGCCCTAGACAGACAGGGGAGCAGCCAATCGCCAGTTCAGCACTTCTCTGAGTTTTTTTTTAAAATATTTTTATTTATTTCTAGGAGAGAGAGAGATAGACAGCGTGAGCAGGGGAGGGTCAGAGAGAGAGGGAGACACAGACTCTGAAACAGGCTCCAGGCTCTGAGCTGGCAGTCAGCACAGAGCCCGACGCGGGGCTCGAACCCACGAACTGCGAGATCATGACGTAAGTGAAAGTCGGACGCTCAACCGACTAAGCCACCCAGGCGCCCCTTCTCTGAGTTTTTAACGAAGGCTGGAAGTAAACTGAGGCTGGCAAACATCAACTAGGCGCACACACCACGCAGGTTTTCACTGCTCTCTTTCCTTCAGTTGTCCTTTGCCACTGGCTCTCCCATGGGGTCATGTGGGCGCTCAGCTCACCGCGCCCCGCACCCCGAGGGCACACGAGCAACCCCTCGTCACCACCTAGAGGGACCGGTGCTGGAAAGAGAGCGAGTCCGAAGGCTCCTCCAACGACAACACACCTGGGAGCTCTTCCGGTTACTGTGTTGGGGAGGTGGGGCCAGGTGACCATCAACACCCACATGGTGCACCGTCCTGAGGACACATGTCTGTCCTATCACATGACGCCATGGGACAGATTAAGGCCCAGATTAGCCCTGCAATTCCATAGAGCCTACAACTCTTCATTGTCATTTGCCTCACTAGGTGCCAACAGCTCCCACTAGTGACAGCAGCTTTTTATTAAAAATAAATAAGAGACAGGCAGAGAGAGAGAGAAACTACAGCAACAGATTCACTGTATTGCTGCGAACAGTTAGAAGTGATCTAGCAAACCTAAAGCTCCCCACCCCCACCATGTCATCTATTTTAAGGCTACACAATTTTTTTAACCGCCTTTAGTTTTTAAAGGATTATGGCTATAATTTTTGAAGTCCTTCACCAAGGTTGACAATCTTAGCAGTAAATGCAGGTTTTTAATGCCCTACCTCACATGAGGCTTCAAAATCTTAATCAGACCTAAATTAAAGTAAAACAGTAGAGAATATTTTAGCTCTTGTTTGCAAAATTAATTTCTCTGTACTAAGCGGGGACAAGAAAGGACTATGCTATGACAAAAGCAGACTACAGAGAATCTTTAACCACCACCCAGAAAGTTCCAGCCAAACCAATCTGGATAAAATTTGTTTTTTAAAAAGTCCCCAAAGAAGGACGCTCTTGGCTCTAGATCTCCGTGTGTGCTGTCCTCCGAAACTGGGCTCCTGTCCGGGAAGCAGGGGGTCTCTACCCCACCACTGCTCCAAGCATCACCCCCCCAACACAGCCTGCACTTCCCGTGTCCTTCACTTGTCCCATTCGTCGTCCCCTTGTTCGGAGGACGTTAATCATCTTCATCGCAGGCCTAGGACACAACAACCCCAAACGGTCGGAGGATCAAATATTCTCCAGAACACTTATCAGACCTAAGCTTCTCCCAAGTATGTGCGCCTGTTACCAGCCCCAGCTCCACATTTCTAACCTTAAGTATTTGACTGTTTAGTTCCTGAAAGTTCGCAAGGCTTCTGCTAAACTAAGTTCCACCTGTAAGGTTACCTACCTGGAGGACGGGGCATGTACCGACCACCCAAAATCTGCGATCTTAAGCTCTCCGGCTGATCCAAGGAGCAGGTTCTCCGGCTTAATGTCTCTATGAATGACTCTCTTCGAGTGACAGTAAGACAGGGCATCTGCCAACTCTGTGATGTACTGTAGAAACAAGGCGTGTGGACAGTCTGTTATTTATTTTTGAGAGACAGAGCACCAGCAGGAGAGAAGCAGAGAGAGAGGCAGACACCGAATCTGAAGCAGCTCCAGGCCCCGAGCTGTCAGCACAGAATCTGACGCGGGGCTCGAACCCACAAACCATGAGATTATGACCTGAGCTCAAGCCAGACACTTAACCACAGAGCCACCCAGGCGCCCCTGTATAACACAATTTTAGACGTTTCTTCTGAAAGGAAGCCCAACATCGATTTTAACATGTTTTTTAGGTTTTAAGGCAAAAGCCAGAAACAACAGAGGACTCTTAAAAAAATAAAATTGAGGGGTGCCTGGGTGGCTTAGTCGGTTAAGCGTCCGACTTTCGCTTAGGTCATGATCTCGCGGTTCGTGGGTTCGAGCCCTGCGTCGGGCTCTGTGCTGACAGCCAGCTCGGAGCCTGGAGCGCCTTTTTCAGTCTGTGACTCCCTCTCTCTCTGACCCTCCCCTGCTCACGCTGTCTCTCTCTCTCTCTCTCCTAGAAATAAATAAAAATAAATTTAAAAAAATAAAAAAATAAAAATAAAATTGAACCAAATTCATGTTTGGCATAAAATACAAGTTATTTATTTGCCAATACAACAGACAGGATATCGAAGGATGGGGTGGGGGGGGCGCTGATGAGCTAGAGCTACTAGTAGCAACGAATTATAACCGAAAAACTGGCAAACTAGGGAGTCAGACATGTAAACAATTAAAAAATTTTTCAATTTTCAAGTAAAGTCCATTCCCATTTTTTTAAATTCCCATTTTTAAGACCAAGATCAATTTATACCGCAATTATTTCTTTGAAGCTCAAGATTTACTCTAAGTGGAAAAATAATCTTGAACAAAAAAACTAAAAGCAGGTATATTTGCATGTTAAATAGCGCGTTAAATCTGGGGGCCTGTGTATTCATCAGGCAGCTTACAAAGCACAAACAGCACATCAGTCCTTTGGTTAGTTTTGTTTTCAGCTCAGCCAAAGAGACCTCTGGCAAGTCCAGAATCTGCTTTAGCATAAAGATAAGAATTGTTATTAGCGTATTCAAGGAATGTTTAGCTCTGGCTGAAGTTTTCTGGGTTTTTTTTTTTTTTTAGATTTTTTTAAAATGTTTATTTATTTTGGAGAGAGAGACAGACAGTGCAAGCCAGGGAGGGGCAGAGAGACACACACAGAATGTGAAGCAGGCTCCAGGCTCCGAGCTGTCAGCACAGAGCCCGATGTGGGGCTCGAACCCATGGACTGTGAGATCATGACCTGAGCCGAAGTCAGAAATTTATAATCGACTGAACCACCAAGGCACCCCTTGCTTAAAAAGGTTTGCCAAAGCAACCGCTGGACAGAACTGAACATATTATTTTACACCAAAAAGTTCTACTCAACAAATGGCTGTAGAAAGCAAATATCATGGTCAGAAGAAACATTTTTCTTTTCTTTTTTCCCCAAGCAAAAGCCGGAGACCAAAATCTAGACAATAACAAACTGAAAGTGGAAGCAAAGAGAGCTCTTCTACACCAAAATGAGCTACTGACACACAGATCAGACACCAGGAGTCTGGAGGGCAAGGCATTTTCTCCGCTCAGATCGAGGCAAGGAGCTAGTAGCTCAGCCAGGGCTCTCCAGCAGCCGCCTTCTTCACGCCTCCCACTCACACTGTGAATATGGGAAAAGGTCCCTAATATTTCTCTACAATTACTTTTAATTGAATTAATCAGAAAAGGGAAACAAGTGTGTGTGTGTGTGTGTGTGTGTGTGTGTGTGTATATATATGAATGAATATATATATTCATTCTAACTACTAGGGAATCGAGAGAGAACCAAGCTTTTCTTTCCAGTAACTAGCGTTTACACCAGCATAAACTCCATCTGGACTGAACAAAAAGTAGTAGTTGAAATATTAACCGCCAATTAAATAAGACAACTAATCTGGTTTGCTAATATTTTAAAAGTAAATAAGATGAATCTATTTCTACTTACCCAAAAGGTAAACATTTAACATTAAGTTTAAAATAGTACATCCATTTTCCTGAGACCAAACCAAAGGGTCATTCACTACTCATGCTGTGATTTCACAAGAACAACCACCTGAAAGAGACTATTTACATCAATGCCAGAAAGAATGATTGTAATCAAAGTAACCATCCATCATCTGCTGATTCAACCAAAAACTGCCCAAAGACTCTCAAACTTCTTCAAAGAAGTAGTTTCATCCAGATAAGGGAGAAGCACAATCCATACGGGGGAAACAAAAACCTGTCAAGATTAAATGCAAGTAAGAGAATGAAAAGACAAGCCACCAGCTGGGAGAAAATGTTTATAAAACACGTGAGATAAAGGACCTACATCCAAAATATACAAAAACTCATCAAACTCAAGATGACCAAGAACCTGATTAAAAATGGGCAAGATAGCTGAACAGGCAATGCAAAGATGACATACACATGGCAAATAAGCACATGAAGATACTTCTCATTGGTCACTAAAGAACTGCAAATTAAAACGAGCTTACCAGTACACCTAAACTCCAAAACACTGACAGTACCAATCTCTGGAGAGGAGGAATGGGGGCACGTTCATGGGTGGAAATGCAAAGATGGTGTATCTACTTTGGAAGATGGTTTAACAGTTTCTTAGAAAGTTACACATAATCGTACCACACAAGCTAGTTTTCAAATCTGTTAAAAATTTAAGCCCCACAAAAACATACATGCAGATGTTTACAGCAGCTTTATTCATAATCACCAGTAACTAGAAGCAACCAAGATACCCTTCAATAGATGAAGGGATGAACTGCACTGCAGAATGCTGCAGAATATTATTCGGCAATAGAAAATGAGCTACCGCACCCTGAAAAGATACAGGTGAACCTGCTTAAATGCATTTAGTTGTTTCCCCACAGGGGTAACTGGTTAATCATTCGGATACCACTGCACATGTACACGGGAACTGAATAAACAAATGGTTGATGGATGGCAGAATCCAGGTTTTGCAAGGCTGGAGTGGGAGGTTACAGGTAAACAAGGGGAGCTGGGTAGAATGAACCATGAGGTAATGGACTCCTGTTTTGCTTAATATAGATACAAGTGGGTAAAAATACAGATACATACGTATACATAGATTAGTCCCTGTTCTGTCAGCAGAGATCATGGAGAGAAGACATGACACCCCCCTAGCAATGAGCTCATCTTGCACCCAGATCTTGGTTTCTAATACCATATTCCGATAAAAGGAACGAGGGCTCCTTGGAGAAGAGGCATAATCTAGGACTGGGATAGAAAATCTACAAAATGAGGCGCAGCATCCTGTAGGGCCAGATGCAGGGCAGCGCTAAGACACACCACGCACACAATGGAAAGAGTAGGTCAAAACAAAAAAAAGCCCTAAAACGGGAGCCATGGGAAAGGGAGCCCAAGGGCCAAAGTTGGAGCAATTTGGGCAGCAAAATGGTGCTGGACTGTAACTCAAAGTAGAAAATATCCATGAATCCACATTAATAAATGACTGAATAAATAAGGGAGAACAGACAAATCTCTGATGCAGAAGAATTCTAAACAATTTATGTCGATAAAGGTGGGGAGTGACACATAAACCCTACTCCCTAAGTGTGGGTTGTGCATAGCGACACACTTAAGAACACAGCATGCAAGAGACAAAGAGTAACTTTATAGCAAAGAAACCTAACAAACATGACCTCAGCCAGGTGACCAAGGCCAACACCCACAGTGATGAGCCAGGTTAATAGTAGATGCCCCACACTAATGTAACATAAATAGGAGAAAATAAGTCTGCACGATCTTCACATTCTGTAAATCTAAAACTATTATAATAAAATCAGCTGGCTGTCTGACTACAGTCATGATCTCGCAGTTCGTGGGTTCCAGCCCTACAACAGGCTCTGTGCTGACAGCTGGGAGCCTGGAGCCTACTTCAGATTCTGTGTCTCCTTCTCTCTCTGCCCCTTCCCCGCTCACACTCTGTTTTTCTCTCTCAAACATAAACATTAAAATAAATAAATAAAGGGCAACTATCCATATATACCTTTCTACAGAAAACAGCTGTGGAAACATACCAGCCACAGTATTCCACCTGGTCCTTGACTTCATCTGCACGTTTGGTACAACAAAGGTATTCTGATTGTTTCATTCAAATATTTGATCTTATGAAGCAATCCTTCTTTAGATGAAACACACTGGACTATAATGAAAGGCGCGTTGCTGTGTGGGGACGGGACGGAGGGAACAGTCGGGACAGCACATGAAAACTTACGGTAGCAGTTCTCTGCTCGTCAAACTTGGACAGCTTCTGAAGCTCCCGGTAGACCGCTCCAAGAGGTGCGTATTCTAGAATTAGGTAAACTCTGGTGGCATCATGGAAATAACCATACAGTCTGAGAATATTTGGATGCCTGCAACAAAGGACGAACCCTCTGACACCTGCTTTATGGAGAGGATACAAGGATACGTACTAGGTACGTCAAGCCTCTCATGTAAAACCAGGGAAAATTAGTTCTGGTCACAGACCCCCCCCACCACACCCTTCGCCCACTTGAGAGTCTGAATCTACACCACCTATTCTGGGGGAAAAAAACAAAACCAAACATACATCCGCTTATCAGTTGACAAGCATTGCAAGGTATATATGGACCTCGGTTTTGGTTAAGACTATTTCCTTCCTTCAGGCCATCTTTATTATTAGGGGGGAAAAGTCAGCTGAATGTTAATTCTCTGCCCATTGGAGAGAGAGAGAGAGAGAAAGGCATAGCCTTCCCACAGCAGTTTGATTCCCAAGCCCTAGGAGACACAACTTAAAAGCAGTGTTTGCCAGCAGCAGACATGTGCCGCTGAGGACTTCGGGCAGCTGAGAACACAGCCCAGGATGGCAGCCCTTCGGCTCTGGCCTGCTGCAACCAGGGAAGGATGCAGGCCTGATGCAGACGGGTTTTTAAGTATTAACAAGTGATTCAAGCCTAAAATACGGAGAGCAAAAAAAAGAAAAGAAAAAGACCCATTGGTCAAAGTCAACCTGTAGGCTGCCAGTCTGCAACCTCTGCTTAGAACTCAGAAGTACCGGAGCACGTACTTCTCTGAGTACAGCTCAGGTCATGATCTCATGGCTTGTGGGATCGAGCCCCACGTGGCGCTGTGTTGACAGCTCGAAGCCTGGAGCCTGCTTTGGATTCTGTGTCTCCGTCTCTCTCTCTCTCTCTCTGCCCCTTCTCTGTTCATGCGCTCGCTCTCTCTCTCTCGCTCTCTCTCTCTCAGAATCAAATAAACATTGGGGTGCCTGGGTGGCTTAGTCGGTTAAGCGTCCGACTTTCACTTAGGTCATGATCTCGCGGTTCGTGGGTTCGAGCCCCGCGTCGGGCTCTGTGCTAACTGCCAGCTCAGAGCCTGGAGCCTGTTTCAGAGTCTGTGACTCCCTCTCTCTCTGACCCTCCCCTGCTCACGCTGTCTCTCTCTCTCCTAGAAATAAATAAAACATTAAAAAAAAAATTTTTTTAAAAAGAATCAAATAAGCATTAAAAATAAATAAGCATAAAAAAAGCTGAGAAGTATCATTTCCCTTCATCTCGTGCAAGTGTGCGTGCACGCACACACACACACGCACACACACCTGGCTCATGTAAATTATTTCATCAACACAGCATAAACCTCCAAGTGATTTTTCAGGACCACAGCACCTGTCTAGACAAATCCTTGAAAAATGACAAACTAAACCACTCTTCACAGTACCACGGAGCAGGCCCTCCATGGTTTAATTAACTCTTAGCGACTAGGTTCTGTACCACAATCTCTTGAACATCAACCTGGAACTTACCTAAGGTGGGACTGGATTTCTACTTCTCTTCTCAGCTGATGCTCGACTCCTGCTTTCTCCAGTTGAGCTTTAAATAATACTTTAAGAGCCAGGATAAACTTGCTTTGTTTTTCTCTCGCCAAATAAACATTACCAAACTTTCCTTTACCCAGTGGGCGACCAATTTCAAAATCTTCCAAAGCCCACTGCCTTCTAGGAAAAAATGTGAGTGTTTTAAAATACGAAGAAAACAAATCTTTTCTAACAATTTATTAATGAGTAGTGGATAGACCTAGAAATAATGTTATATTTAATGTTGTGTTCAGTAGGAACCCTCGGTAAGAACCAAGCTAATAACTACGCTTGGTCTCCAGAGACATTAAATCCCCCACTCCTCTACCTGACAATGACTGTAAGAGTCAGTGACAAGGAACAGTCTGGGCTTTTACAGCTGAAGCACTAATGCAAAAGTGTCCCAAGGCAGTACTACACTCTGAATTACAGACCTGTTACCAGCACCACTAAAGACCACAGGAATGGTTAAGTAAGTACTATCTGTGGGCCTCTAGCAAGCTAACCACAGCCTCCTCCTGCGGCCTAGAGGTACTAAGTCTCAGGGTGGAGAATCAGTCTGTGAAAGCAGGAGGGTTGGATCCTACGAGGCAGTGGGGGGTGAGAACTGGATTTAGATTCTCAGAAAGCCACTGTGAAGTAGCCAAACAAAAAAGCCCGTGGGTTCACTCCTGGCTCCCTCTCCGACATTCTGGACATTGCTTTCTACATTCTCGAGTCTAGACAGTTCAGAAATGGAGAGCAAGCTTTTGGAAAATATCTGGGGAAGACGTTATAAAGAATAATTTGGTGAATACTGTCAAAATATTCACATAGTCATATATACATGTGTATATATATAGTTTTCCAACACAACGCATTTTCTTGCACTTTTGTATAAGAATACAAATTAGAAACACACCCAAGCCATATGTAGTGGTTACTTTCGAGGGTAGGGAGGAACTTATTTTACCCATGTCTGTAACAGATTCATACAAGTTGTTTCTAACTTTGGAAAGCAGTAAGAAAAGCGGGGGTCACAAGTAAACATCATTAAAATTCCCTTTTTCCAAAGGTCAGATTTGGAAACATTCATATTGCCTTAGTGAAAATATAGAGCCCTTTCTTGCTTTTCAATGAGTTCTCATAATTAAACTTGCAATTAAATAGTATATTCTAACAGCATGATAGCACAGAACTCTAGAAGTAAGATAAAGCTTACTTTTTTGATTCTTCATTTTTCTGTTTTGTTGCCAGTTGCTTTTCAGAATTATTTCCTATATAGAATAAGTTAAAAACCTGTTTTTAGAATAATTATTACTTTAGAATAACTATACAGAATAAATTAAAAACCTACAAACAGAAATGAAAGAATGGTCACCAAAATCTTTAATGGTGTGCCCAGAATGGGAGCTTTTTATCTTTAGTTTTCTTTATAGAAAAAAGATCACCACACCCTAACCTGACTCCCACCAGGTGAAGTCTTTTACAGATTTCTAAAGATGAGCAGATATATATACAGCGATGCCCTCCAATGCTTTAAAGACTCAAGACTATGCAGATTCTTCTGGAAGCCTCGGTTTCCAAACGAAGACCTTCTAAGGCAGAACTGCCAATCTCTCCATCCATGATAAGCGCCCACTCACCACCTTCGCACCCCCACTAGGTGGGCCAGCCGACTCTCCAAATCCCACTTACAAACAAACAGCGTGCAACAAAACCTAAACCGGCCACCTCTCTTCATTAGTTGCCAAGGGGAAATAGAAAACTAGAAGCTCCTGATTCAGCAAGATGTACCATAAACCAATTGCACAACAGGGTACTAAAGTCATTATTTCATCAGCTGGGGCTGGACATTTCCACTCCAAACCCCGCAAACAGCAAATGTGCTCTGTCTGCTCAGGCACCTGACAGCAGTCCCAGAGTGGTTTTTTCCCTCTGCGCTTCGCCGTCTCAGTTAATGCAGTCAGTATAACCACCATCTGTATGCCCAGCTCACTGCCCAGTTCTACCCAGCGTGCAGCCGAGGTCAGCCCTCGGATTTGCCTGCACCCCTCCATCCTGTGTCTGTGGGCAAGTTAAGGTTTCGGAGGCTCTACTCCCTCGTCTGTAAAACAGAGCTGGTCACCGGCCACCTTCAGAGAGTGGCTGCGAGGACAGAGGCAGATGACGTGGGTGAAGGTGCACTGGGCACGCCAGGCTGGGAAACAAGGACTATTACCATCCTCCCTGCACCGCCCACTTCAGGTCGCTGCCTTCTCTGACCGAGCCCCCCGCAGCCTGCCTCCTGTCTGCTGCCCGAGTGCGGCTGTGCTTCTCTCCGGGTCATGCCACACATCTAGAGCAAGCTTTCTAGAAGGCCAGGCCCTCCTCTGCTGGAAAAGCTTTCAGCAACTTCCCCACACACAGGGGATGAAGGCCCACTCCTCGACAAGGCCACACCTTCCACCGTGGCCTCACCCAGCCGGCCTTGGCCCCTCAAGGTCCACCTGCTCCCCCGACCACCCTCCACACTCTGACTCTGGAAGTTTCCAGTTCCTGAATCGCACCACGAGGGTGGGAATCAGGTTCTCTATCCTGAGCACAGGGCTGGCCCACAGGAGATACCTGCTACTTCAACCGGACATCGGATTTTTCTCCCAATCCTCAATAAAAATGTCCCAGCTAGGGGATGTGTAAACGCACATCTGTCCACCACACCCACCCCCCCTTTTTTTTTTTAAGCAACTAGAAGGAATAACAATCCGATGGTCTCCGAAAGCTGCCTTACCGGGGGCCGACGGCAAGGGCTGCTCACTGTTCTGGGGATTAGTCAGCGGCCTAGAGACAGGACGAGGGCCACCGGTTGGCTGCAGTGGCTTCTGCTTCAGGTTCTGGACGGGTTTGTGGCTGGACGCAAGCCTTTGTGCTTGGGAAGGAATTCGCTGAGAGGAATTTGAAGGACACAAGACTCGCTGGGCTTGGCCGCTATTTGCAGGTAACGGATTCTGAGAAGGAAATTGCTGGCTCACCGGGACGCGTTTTGGACCATCACCAAGTGGAATCGTAGTCTAGGTGAGGAGGGAGAAAACAAAGGTCATGGTCTTCAAAAACCAAAGTGGGTCTTTTAGGCGCCTGGGCGGTTAAGCATCTGGTTTCAGCTCAGGTCATGATCTCACGGTTGGTGGGTTCGAGCCCCACATTAGGCTCTGTGCTCAACACTTGCTCAGAGTCTGGAGCTTGATTCGGATTCTGTGCCCCCTTCTCTTCCTGTCCCTCTCCTGCTCACGCGCGCGCTCTCTCTTTCTCTCTCTCAAAAATAAATAAAACATTAAAAAAAAGGGGGGGTATTTTGAGAATTCCACAAAGTCTGTTTTCTAGTGTAACAAAATAATGAAGGCCACTGAGCATACATGTAAGGGGAAGGCGATGTCCATCAGTGCTCCCAGAGGATATGGTTGGTACCCGGCTGAACGGATACCAGAATGATCCTCCTACCCACCCCAACCCCCACTCCCAAAAATCATGCTCCCATAAACAGATGTTCACTAACTAAACTTCCACCTTCCATTAAACACTTCCTAAGAATTCTCCATGACTTGGGAATTATTACTCAACAAAAAGCTATAATGCAAGAACTTTATACCAAAATCCCAATTCCATTGAAATTTCTTTGGCAATATCATACATAGGTTTAGAAAGAAGATGAAGAAATATGTCAAAATATTCAACAGTGGTTATCTGGTAAAGATTTTTGTTGTTGTTGTTGTTGTTATTGTTTTGAGAGAGAGAAACAGTGTGCAAGTGCAAGTGGGAGAGGAAGAGAGAGAGAGAAGGGGACAGAGGATCCAAACATCTGAAATGGGCTCAGTGGGGACAGAGAAATCGAACTGTGAGATCATGACCCAAGTCGAAGCAGGATGCTTAACCAACTGAGCCACCCAGGTGCCCCTCGATGAAGATGTTTTAGAAGATCATGTGGGGACACCTGGGTGGCTCAGTCGGTTAAGTGTCCGACTCTTGGTTTCGGCTCCGGTCATGATCTCACAGTTTGTGAGTTTGAGCCCACATCGGGCTCTGTGCTGACAATGTGGAGCCTGCTTGGGATTCTCTTTCTCCCTCTCTCTCTGCCCCTCCCTTGCTTGTTCTGTCTCGCAAAAATAAACCTTAAAAAAAAAAAAAAAAAAAAAAAAGATTTAAAAAAAAGATCGTCTGAATTTTTTCATTTGCCCGGTTTTCCACAAAATACTTATTACTATTAACTTTTCACTAATGTTTCTTGTCCAAGTGCTTACAACAGGGATCTCAGCCAAAAGAACGAAGGCAGCACGAACAGGCCCTTCAAAAAGCTATGCTAAAATCTATTATCTACACGCCTGTAAGCAAGGGATCATAAGCTTAAAAAGTTGTTAATTCTAAGACCCTGAACTAATCAAACTAAAACGGGTGGAAGACTTCCTCCAGCTGCATCAGAGGAAGCTTCCTCACGAGCGATGAGCGATGGAACGCTGCTGGAAAGGGGGAGTCGGACTTCATCACAAGCTCACCGGGTAGGACGCTTCACAAGAGACCGTTTCCAGCTTCCAAGTAAAAAATCAATGGCTTCTGAAATTAGCAACGTCCACAACACAGGAGGCATTCAGGCAGTGACAAACATTTTAAACAGCAGTTTCTTCAAATGGTCTTTATCATAGGAATTGGGAATCAAATACAATGACTCAAGTTAGACCGTTTTCTAACTGGTCATTTTAGACTTTCAGCCAGTAAATAAAGAAGTATCCATTTATTTGAAAATGAAAACTTCTCAAACCTCCAAAAGACAAGAAACAACAAGTGCTGGTGAGCAGGTGAAGAGAAAGGAACCCTCGTGCGCTGCTGGGGGGGGATGCAACAGGTACAGACACTGTGGAAAACAGTACGGAGGTTCCTCAAAAAGTTAAAAATAGAACCACCCTACGATCCAGTAACCACACTACTGGTTATTTACCCAAAAACACAAAAACACTAACTCAAAAGGATCTATGTACCCCTACATTTATAGTAGCATTATTTACAAGAGCCAAGTTAAAGTGGCGCCTGGGTGGCTCAGTTGGTTAAGCATCCAATTTCAGCTCAGGTCATGACCTCACTGTTTCTGAGTTCAAGCCCCGCACTGTGCTCTGTGCTGACAGCTCAGAGCCTGGAACCTGCTTCACATTGTGTCTCCCTCCCTCCCTCCCTCCCTCTCTCTCTGCCCCTTCCCTGCTCATGCTCTGTCTCTCCCTCAAAAATAAACAAACATTAAAAAAAAAAAAAAAAGACCAAATTATGGAAGCAGCCCAAGTGTCCACTGATAGATGAATGGATAAAGATGTGGTACAGATATACAAGGGATCACTACTCAGCCATAGAAAATGAAATCTTGCCGCCTGCAACGACACGGATGGAGCTAGAGAGTATAATGCTAAGCAAAATTAGTAAGAGAAAGACAAGATACTGTACGATTTCACTCATCTGTGGAATTTAAGAAACAATCAACGGGGGGAGGGGAGAGAGAGAGAGAGACAAACAAAAAGACAAACTCTTAACTATAGGGAACACACTGATGGTTCCCAGAGGTGAGGTGGGTGGGTGGGTGTGAATCAGCTGACGGGGCTGAAGGGGACCCTTATCCTTACGAGCACTCCTACAGAAGTGCTGAATCACTGTATTGTACATCTGAAACTAATGTAACATTGTGTGTTAACTACACTGGTATTAACATAAAAAACCTGACACGCCTGGGGGCTCAGTGGGTTGAGCATCTGACTCTTGATTTTAGCTCAGATCATGATCCCAGGGTCATGGGATCAAGCCCTGAGTTGGGCTCTGTGCTGAGCTTGGAGCTGCGCGTGGAGCCTGATTAGAATTCTCTCTCCCCCTCGCATGCACTCTCTCTACAATAAATTTTTAAAAACATTAAGTTAAATTTAAAACTTAAAGAAAAACTTCCAAAAACAAGATCCCTCCCCGCCCCAAACACACACAAATCAAGCAAGATTTGTATTTTTATGCTGATTTCCCGGAAGAAAGCAAATCTGGGGCTTACTTATATTAAGAGATCTTTACAGAAAGACTCATTCACCCAACTACTCCACAAATATCATAAGCCAAGGGTCCTCCCGGGTGAAGCCTTCCTGGATTCTGACCCACCCCAACCTTAAGGGAGCCCCCTCCACGGGATTACTCAGATCACACACACATACGTATTCGTGGAGGTGCAGTACCAGCTCACCTAATTCCCCACAAGGGCTAAGTTCTTTAGTCAAGGACCATGCGCTTTCCATCAGGGTTCTCCCGGCATCTGACACAGAACCTGGCTCAAAGTGGACTCGCAGACTCCCAGGAAGTGCTCACATTAAAATGCAGCCCAACATTCCGATGAGCTTACCATCCCCTGAATCGTGACTAGAACACACTATGGCAAAGCAATTTAATTTCGGCCAAGCAAGCAAATGCAGGCAAGGATCAGGCCCCTACTGTATCCGTTATTATCCTGTACACAAAGGAGGAACAGATACATGAAGAGCTACTAGAAGACAAAGCAGAACGAAATAACAGGTGACCATGAGCAACATGTTTTTGAATGCCAAGAAAGGGGACTAACTCATCCAGGAATGTAGGAGAATTTAACTTCTCCTACATGAACTTCTGAGGTTACACTCCAAGGTGAGGGTGAGAAGAACTCCAGATCTAAAACCAACGCCATTTGGGTCTGTCTTCTAAATGTGACTGAGATTACAGATTATTCGAATTACCTTCACAGGCCCCGCAATGCAGTTCTCTTTAGATTTGTCCATGATGCCTGAAAAGAAAAATAACCACCTTTAAATTCCACAAATCCTCATGCTTCAAGGTTTAGTTATACGGGGTCAGGGCTACAGCTCCTGATGAAAAAGCTCCACAACACAATTTACATTCTTTTCTTTGTCCCTGTGAGGCTGATAAGGGAGTCTTCTTTTCTCAGGTGACATGAGGGGCAGGTAGGGGGCCTCCAGCCAACTCCACTCCCAGAGTCCTCCAGCTCCATCAGTGCAGGAGCCCGCTTCAGTACCTGCTGCTTTTATTTTATTTTGTTAGTTTATGTCTGAGAGACAGAGAAACAGTGTGAGCAGGGGAGGGGCAGAGAAAGACTGAGACACAGAATCCGAAGCAGGCTCCAGGCTCAGAGCTGTCAGCACAGAGCCCGACGCGGGGCTCAAACCCACCAACCATGAGACAAGGTACCCATGAACTGCGAGATAATGACCTGAGCCAAAGTCGGATGCTCAACCGACTGAGCCACCCAGGTGCCCCCCTTTTAAAAACAGGTCCCCTCTTCCCTATAACTGACTCCACCTTCGACAGCATCTCTGCCCTCCCGTCAACAGCAAAGCTCCAGAAGAATCATGGACACTCATGGCACCCACATGTCTCTCACCCTCGGGCCCTCCCCCATCAGGATTTCACCCCACAGACTGGCCCGCTGGGGTGGCCAGCTCCTGACTGACCTCTGCTGTTCCCAAACTCAGAAGTCCATTCCACACCCTCAGCTCCCTTGCGACCCCAGCAGCATGTGACAGGGTCCCTTCTATTCCACTCCCAGCCTCACTAGCCTGCAGGCTTGTGCCCACCTCACCAGCTGTCCTGCCGCAACACCCTCTGCTGGGTCAGCCTCACTTTTGCCAACCTGAGAGTCTGGGGCGACCGAGAAGGAGTCCTTGGACCCCACTCCTCCACCCTTGCCCTTCCTAGGGCACCTCAGCCAGCACCGGAGTTCTAAACCTCTTCAGGGTGATTTCAATTTACACCTTCTACCCGAACCTCTCCTCTGACTGCCAGACTCCTACCTACCTACGTGCCCAGAATCCCCCACAAAGTCTGCCAAGCACCCCGATCCCAACACATCCAGACACACCCTCTTCTCTCCTCCTGGCTACTCTTTCCCTCTGCTCTCGGGAGCGGCCTGAGCTCAGGCCCAGAAACACGTTTCTTTCTGCAGCTCATTCCCTCTGTGCGCTCATCCGTTCTCCAGGCTCTCAATGCCATTCACGGGCTGGGACCTCCCCCTCCAGACCTCTCCCCAGGCTCCTGCCACCCACGAAACATCTCCACCTGTAATCGGAGCGGCACTGCAATTTTAAAATGTCCCCAACTGAATGCCTGCTGCCTCCCCGCCCCCACCTCCCCAACCCTGTTCTCACAGACGTCCTCCCCCGGGCTGCTGGCAAACCCATCCTGCCCGCTGCTAGGGTCCCCTCAGCTTTTAGACGGTGCCTCCTCAAACCTCGTACCTAATCCATCGGCACATCTTAGAGGTTCTACCTTCAAAACCACCGCTCACGACCTTTAATACCACCTCCTGATCCAACCCATGCTGCCCCCCCTCAATTATTTGCAACAGGCTCCCAATGGTCACCCTGCTTCCCACCCTTGCGCCATCACGGCCCATTCCTAACACTGCACCCAGGGTCCCATTAAGGAGTCAGCTATGTTGGCCCTCGGTTCGGAAGCCCCTCACGGTCCCTCAAAATCCTCCTTGCCTACGGTCTCATACAGGCGACGCTGACCCCCTTTGTGGCCTTGTTTCCTCTTCTTATCTATTGCACACCAGCCCACAGAGCTTCTTTCTCTCCTCAAAGCAGTCCTGGCCACAAGGCCTTTGTACTCTCTCTCCCTTCTCTCCTAGCCGTTTGGCTCTTCCCTCAGACGGAAGTGTAGTGTGCTCCTTCATTACATTCAGGTCTCCTTTCTGAGCGTCTCTATTTTTCTTTACGGCCCTTAACTTCTTCCAGAACATCATGTGTTTTCACATCTACCTCCCCAGACGATATCCAACTACCTGCCCAGTATCTCCAAGGAAAAGTAAGCACCATGAGGGCAAGGCCTTAGTTCCCCTGTGTTCACTGCTGCCTCCCGGAACATGCCTGGCACACAGTACGCACACCAGTGTTTGGGGAATGAGTTAACCCACTAAGGAAGCAAAATCAGTAATGAAAACCGTTTACAAACACGAGGCCCACGCTGTGAGTCAGGTGCAACACCGTGTCAAGTAAGTAGAACATAAACTCCAAGAAAACAGAAACCTTTCTGTATTCTTCTAACCCAGGTACTCTCTGAATTCTAAAATCCAATCAGAAAGCACCTCTCCACCCCTACACTTCCACATCCATTTCACAATTAAGCAAATAGCCCCACCCTGAAGACGAACCACAGCTAAGAGTCCTTAGATCAAACCACTGAGTTAGTAGAAATGACAGAAAGGAAACAGGAGTTACAAGCTGGTGTTATGCAAACATTAATTTCACACAGGCTCTAACGCTCTCGTCACTCTCCCTAACAACTACCAGCAGGAGATCAAGGAGATCACACGGGCCTAAGGACATCCAGTCAATAGTCTTCCACAGAAGCTAGAGATTGGCTCCGATGGAACACGCTTTGCCTTCTCAGGGAGAGAGAGAATAATAACCGGAATGGAATAGGAGGATCCAGAAATTCCAGGGCGAGCCCCGAAGGCTGCTTCCCCAGCGATTCCGTCTACGGCCGGTGCTAGAGCCACACAACCCGATGACCTTCACGAGACCTTGCAATTCAAACCACATCCTGCTATTCTAAATACAAATAAAAACTGTAAGGTTTTATATCATTGTGCATTTAGAAGGTTTTGTCTTCTGTCTTCTTCAAACCTGCTAGTGTCTGCATAGACTTGGAGGAGTGGAAATGAACACGTTGCTGAAAAGTGTGTAGTTCAAAGAACAGGGAAGGTGAAGGGGGAGAAGGAAGCGATACAAGTCCAGGGCACTATCTCCATCTGCAGGACACTGGCGAGACGTGGAGACTTTCGGGCCGAACCACAGACCTAACAAGTCACATCCAGCATTTTACCATCCCCAGACGACCGGTGCGCGCTGGTCTAGGTCACCGGTTGTCCGTGAAGCATCAAGAATCACCTGCGAAACTTGACAAACTACAGACACCTGAGTCCTATGCCCAAGCACTTCTGATTCATGGGGTGGGTCTCTATTTTTAACAAGGACCCTCAGAAATCCCGATAAAGGCGGTCCAAGGTCTGTGGTTTGAGAAGCGCGGAGCAAGGAAAGCCTCTTCGAGGAGGCTTTCATTTATTCCTCCGAAGTAGCCCCCGGTACACCAACCGCACACCTGTTTTCTTTTGAAAGCTGTCTCGCCAGTCCGTCGTCGGGCGCCCCACCCCCACTGGAACGTGACCTCCCCGAGGGCAAAAGCCCAATTTTTTTTTTCTTGCCCAGGTGCCGGCCGGATACGAGAGCCCCTTCCGAAGGCGCCCCCACCCCAATGCCACCGCAGCCCCATGCCCTCCGGGGGTGTACCAACCCCCAAGCGGCATCTCACGGGGCGCCCCAGGAGCAGATGGGAGGGCGCTGCGAAAGCACGGGGGGCAGAGGAGAGGGGCTGGGAGGATGCAGGGGGACAGCAAGAGGAAGACGAGGGCGGACGAAGGTGGGGACCCAGGGAGCCCCGGCCCTGCCACCCGCTCCGAGGCCACCCGGGCCCGCCGCCCTCGCCCGTCCGCCTCACAGGGCAGTCCCAGGGTCTACGAACCCGCAGGCTCCCGCCTCCGACCCAAAGGCCGCCGCGTCCTCCCGAGAGCTCAGCCGTTATGATTCAAAGTCTTCATTTTAAATAGGAGTTAAACCCTCTAAGGCGAAAGCTCATTGGCCCGGGCTAGAGAGGCACTGGCTTCTGATTGGCTCGCAGCCCCCACGGCCTGCGGCACGTCCTAGGCGGTGACAGCACGCAGGCGCGCTTGCCCCGTAAGGCCCGGAAGTGGTGGCGCCAACGGCCCGCCCGACTTCGGCCGCTCTAGCGCCTGCGGTGCCCTCCAGGACCCGACATTTGTCAGCGAAACAGCATTTCCTCGGCGCCAGTCACGTTGTCGCGCAAAAGGTAGAGTTGGAGGAGGTTAACGAACCACTCCAACGCGCCAGTAAGTAAGATGGCGAGAAGGGGGGGGCGATCGATAGCGCGGCGCTCGGCGCTTTCCCCTGTGCGCCTGCGCGGTGGACGTGCGCTCGGAGCGATCGATCGGCCTGAATTCGTGCCTCCATTTTTTGGGGGAGAGAGCGGGAGATCGAGAGAGCCGGACTAGCGGGTACTGGGGGGCTGGGATGCATGGAGAGCGGCTGGTGCGGTCGGCTGGGGTCTTCACGGGACCCCAGGAAAGACGAGCGAGGCGGGAAGGCCCGCTAGTGAGCGGGGTGGCATGCCCCCGAGTCGCCAGGCTCGGCCTGCACACCCCTTCCTCTTCCTCGAGGGCCTCGCTCCCACCCTCACTCCATCCGTGGTGCGCTTCTATGGCGGGACGGTGGCGGAACCCAGTGGGCGGGGGGGGGGGGGGGGGGGGGGTCCGTGTTCTCGCCCTGGTCCCCCTTCCAGTTCCGGGTGCAAACAGGTCTAGGCCCTGCTCTTCCTGACCTCGGGCCTCACCTGCAAACTGCGGGCGGTAGTCAGGCACTTACTAGCCCAGCGAGCGAACGCTCAGGGAGAGTGGAGAAGCGGGGCTCGTCCTTTTGTTTCTTAACCTGTGAACACCCCGTGATGCTCCTGGCATCAGTGCAGAGACGGGATCGAGCAGTGATGAAGTTCTGGGATCTGGTCTGGGCAGTCCTGGCGGCCACTTGACGAGTTACTCAGCCACGTTTTATTTTCAGTTTCCTAACTTCTTTGTGCCGGTTTCATCGTCTCTGTCGTGCCCTAGTGGTGTCTGCACAAGCACAGATTTGTGTACATTTGCTTCTACATGTGCTTAAGTACTTTGATTGAAAATCATTGATTGAATGATTTCATGCGGTGAGCTAATGCTTGTAAAGTGCTTAGCACTTAATAAATGTTAGCTGTTGTTATTAACACCCATCAGTGCAGCACAGGACTCAAGCTCTGGGGTCAAATACCCTGAGTAAAGATCCAAGCTGTGCCATTTACAAGCCCTGTGATCCCAGGTAAGTTAACCTCTCTGGGCCTCAGGTTGCCTATCTTATCTCTAAAACAGGATTAGATGCTATTCAATGAGGTAATGCATATTAGTTGCTTATGTGATGGGTGTTCTATACCGCACTGAGCGTCTCATTTTAGCTAGTTTGTCATGAAACTTTTAAGGAGCACTGCAGGGACGCATTAGGAACAACACAGTCCCTGGAGTCCAACCCTCTGTATTCTAGTCCTGGTTTCTGCAGGCACAGTCGTGAGACCTGGGTCAGGTTGTTTTCCCTCCTCGTCTTTAACAAGATCACAGGGCTTCCCTGTGAGATAAAACATAAGGAACACTCAGTGAACAGTTAACCGTTCTCATCAGTAGCTTCAGTTATTCTGAAAGAGTTAGAAAACATGGTTCCCCACGCCCCTCCTACAACACAGCCCTCCTTCCAGGATCAGTTCCTGTAAAGGACAGCAGTACTGGTGTTACCGCACACTCTGCTCCTTTCTGGTTTTCGTCTCTCCCTCCCTGTCTCTCATCCCCTTATGCTCTGACTTCTGATTTCTTGTCTGCCTTCGACTTCTGTTCTTTATTGCCGTCCCCAGGCTCCTGTGCCCTTCAGATAGCTGTCCAGACATACATACACATACGAATATTGATTTTTGAAAGTCAAATTATTTAATGTCCACCAACTGGAGTTTTGCGGGGTTTTTTTGCATAAACCAGAAACCGTCATCTACAGTTTTCATTTTACTTTTTAAGAGAGAGCTGAAAAACTCGTAAACCAATCCAAGTGCACAGTCCTTTAGATTTTTGCCCTTTTTTTTTTCCCCCGAAGTTTGTTTATTTTGAGAGAGGGAGAGCAGGAAGAGGCAGAGAGGAGGAGGGAGAGAGAATCCCAAGCGGGCTCCGCAGTGTCAGCATGGAGCCTGATGCAGGGCTGGAACCGAAACACCACGAGACCATGACCTGAGCTGAAATCAAGAGTGGGACACTTAACTGAGCCACCCAGGTGCCCTTTTCCATTTTTTATGGTTGTTTTGACCATATCCCATTTGCCAATATTTTACTAAGCAATTCATCTTTGAATCTTTCCAAAGCATTCAGCTTGATTTAGTTTTCATAGCTTAGTGGCTTCAGGGGCGCCTAGAGAGCTCAGTCAGTTAAGTGTCCGACTCTTGATCTCAGCTCAAGTCATGATCTCACAGTTGTGAAATTGTGCGCTGCATCACTCCTTGGGATTCTTTCTCCCTACCCCTCCCCTGCTGCACGCTCTCTGTCTCAAATAAATAAACATATATATATAAAGACCATATCTGTTTTTTTTAATGCTTTTTATTTATTTCTGAAGAGAGAGAGACAGTGTGAGCAGGGGAGGGTCAGAGAAAGAGGGAGACAGACTCGGAAACAGGCTCCAGGCTCTGAGCTAGCTGTCAGCACAGAGCCCGACATGGGGCTCAAACCCACGAACTGTGAGATCGTGACCTGAGCCAGATTCAGACACTTAACTGACAGAGCCACCCAGACATCCCATGAGACCATACCTGACATTCGTAAACATACAGCTTAACTGGTGGAAACAGTGTCTAGACATTCACCAATAGCCATCTTACCTGTTGCACAAAATGGTCCGTGTTTTCTTAAGAGAAGAAATAGAAGATTCTGGGATGGCAGTATAGACTAAAAATGGCAGGTGGGCCGTATGACAGAGAAGAATAGTTGATGAAAAGAAGTTCTGTAAGTAGTTGCTAACATGATTTGCATAGTGTCTGTGTGCCACTGTGCTCACTGCTCTGCATGTACCATCTTTTTTAACCTTCGCTAACTTGCCTAACAGCTGAGGAACCTGACCTCAGAGGCACAAGTTTGCTGACCAAAGATCATGGCAACTGGTAGAGCTGGGACGTAAGCCCCGCCGGTCTGCCCAGATCGCCGTGTTGCTTCTGTGATTTCTCATGCCTCTGCCCTTCACCATGCCTGTATTCTCACCTTGCAGCTGCCCAGGAAATTGCCTTCCTCTTCTCCAAGATGTACAGAACCAAAGTGGGCTTGAAGGACCGCCAGCAGCTGTACAAGCTGATCATTAGCCAGCTGCTCTACGATGGCTACATTAGCATCGCTAACGGCCTCATCAATGAAATCAAGCCACAGTCTGTGTGTGCGCCCTCGGAGCAGCTCCTGCATCTCATCAAACTAGGTAGCTTGGGGATGCAAACTCATGAATTCCTTGACGGGCTTTCACATGTTTTCACAGGCAGAGTTTTTCAAGATGATTTTTGTCCAGTTTTAGTGCCTAGTATGTGTCAGGTACAGTGCAAGGTACTGAAAGAGTAAAGCAAACCCCAGATTCTGAAGATTTCAAACCGGTGCTAGCCTTAGGCTCTTGAGAAGAATTATCTGGAGCATTCTGTCATTGTATTATTGACTTCAGATTTCAGTTCAAATGTCATCCCAGGGTCCTTTCTGCTTTTTCTAAAATAACCCACTCTCTTCCCCACACCTTCCCAGTTACTCTAGAACAACAATCCCATTTCCTTCATGGCAGAATCACTGTCTGAAATGTGCTTCACTGTTTCAGGCCGTTTCCCAAACAGTCTGCACCTCCCCAAAAACGGACAGCAGGCACAGGATCTTCGTCTTGTTCAGCAGTGTATCCTGGTTCCTGTCTGGGTCATAGGAAGCACTCTATAAAATAGAGAAGTCCCAGTATGTTTATACCGTTTGACTTAGCAATGCCAGTTTTTATGTAGGTTTTTTTTTTTTAAGTTTGTTTATTTTTGAGAGAGGGGGAGACCGTGTGAGTTGGGGAGAGGCAGAGAGAAACGGAGACACAAAATCTGAAGTAGACTCCAGTGTCTGAACTGTCAGCTCAGAGCCCGAGGAGAGGCTCCAACTTGGGAATGGTGAGATCATGAAGGCCGAAGTCAGACTCTAAACCAACTGAACCACCCAGGTGCCCCCATGGTGTTTTGTTTTAATTAAAATTTTTTTTTCATGTTTATTTTTGAGAGACAGAGAGAGACAGAATGTGAGCAGGGGAGGGGCAGAGAGAGAGGGAGACAGAATCGGAAAAAGGCTCCAGGCTCTGAGCTAGCTGTCAGCACAGAGCCCAACATGGGGCTGGAACTCACAGCAATGAGATCATATCCTGAGCCAAAGTTGGGCACCCAACCGACTGAGCTACCCAGGCTCCCCTGGCAATGCCCCGTTTTGAGAATTTGTTCTGAGGAAACAAAACAAAAACAACTGAAATACCCAACAATAAGGAATTTGTTGTGAATGTTCTTATATCCATCAAATTGGGTCCAGCCACGTGATACAGATAACTATTACACTGGCCAGATGTTTATTCTGTCTGACTAAATGAACAAGTAAGTTACAACATATCATATGGTGTGGTTCTATTTTTGTTTCAAGAATTGTAACACCTGTGCATGGAGAAAGGTCCAGAAGAATTCATTCCACCATGTTAACAGTAATTATCTCTGAGTAACCTAATCCAAGGTCATTTTTATTTTTGTGTTCATTTCTATTCCTAATTTTTCTTATATTAGTAAACATACTGTTTATATGGTATGTATAGTTCTTTTTAAATTTAAAATGCATTTTCTTGAAAAATTTGTATATTAACATTTTTTCAAATATGTTTCACTAGTGTTAATGCTAACAATGTATCCTTCTTAATGAGCCCCAAAGCTGCTACTAACAGATCTCAGCACTAACAATATGAAAATCCAGAATGAGAAAAAATGGGCAACTTAACTATAAAACTGCTTTTTAGAATTTCTGTGGTTGTAGGTAAAGTGGAAGATTTTGGAAGCAAAACTTAGGGGGAGATGAAACGACCCTATTGGAGGCTGACCTTCCCCAGTCAGTGTTACATTGCCTGCAGTGTTGTCACTTACAAGCACCCAGGTGGATATACATGATTTTGTGAGGTGTCAAGTGTCATGCGGCTCCAAGACAGAGGAAGTTGACACTGGCAAACATCTTCCCCAGTTTGAATCCAAGATTTTGCCTTGACTTTTAAAATAACATTTTTTCATGCACTTAAATGTTTTGGATTCCTTCTAGGAATGGAAAACGATGATACGGCAGTTCAGTATGCAATTGGACGTTCAGATACAGTTGCCCCAGGCACGGGAATTGACCTGGAATTTGATGCAGACGTCCAGACCATGTCCCCGGAGGCTTCAGAGTATGAAACATGCTACGTCACATCCCACAAAGGACCCTGCCGTGTAGCTACCTACAGCAGAGATGGGCAGTTAATAGCTACTGGATCTGCTGATGCTTCCATAAAGATACTTGACACAGAAAGGATGTTGGCCAAGAGCGCCATGCCAATAGAGGTAAAACTCCCTGTCACGTAGTCCTGTCTGCCTTTTGTTGTTCATTGGGAGAGTGAGAGACTACTTTAGACCTGCTTTAGCTTAGCGTGATCGGGGACTTTGACTTGGATTTTATACTTGGAGCATCTGCTTTCTCGTCGGTCTAGGTCATGATGAATGAGACGGCACAGCAGAACATGGAAAACCACCCAGTGATCCGAACGCTTTATGACCACGTGGATGAAGTCACGTGTCTCGCTTTCCACCCGACAGAACAGATCCTGGCCTCTGGTTCAAGGGATTATACTCTTAAGTTATTTGATTATTCCAAACCATCTGCAAAAAGAGCCTTCAAATACATTCAGGTTAGGAATATTTAGAAAGAAGCTGTACATTTTTTTTCTAAAAACAAAGAGTTGGTGTTGTAGGACTATTCTTGTTTTTATTTATTTCTGATTTTTTTAATGTTTTTTATTTATTTCTGAGAGAGAGAGAGGCAGCTTGAGCAGGGGAGGGTCAGAGAGAGAGGGAGACACAGAGTTGGAAGCAGGCTCCAGGCTCTGAGCTGTTAGCACAGAGCTTGACGCGGGGCTCGAACCCATGAACCGTGAGATCATGACCTGAGCCGAAGTCGGACGCTTAGCCGACTGAACCACCCAGGCCCCCTTCTTCTTGTTTTTAAAGTAGTCTCAGGGATCATCTTCTAAAACGAAGCCAGCAGCAAGGATACACGCTGCAGGCGGCTCGGGAGTCAGAGTGCACTGGCACATGGTCCCCATGCAGTCAGGCACCCACTTTCTCTCGTCACAGCTTATGCAACAAGGGGTCAGAATCTGTATCACTCTTTCAAGGTTGCAGATCCCCATTTAAAGGCAAAACACAACCACTTCACCGAAGTGTCACTTAACAGGAATCAAAAAACTATTCGGTTGAAACTATCAGACGTTTACTGGAAAAGTGACATTCGGTACTCTGTTTTGAGTATGCAGTTCAGAAATATTAATGTGTTCGTAGTGGCTTCCACCTTTTAATAATTTAACTGAGTATTTTACTCAATAGTTGGAGCCGTAGGACAGGTTGAAGCTGCTGTTCACATGCACAAGTTGTGTTTATCTGCATTCGTTAACGTGTGAAAGTATCCTAGCTTGATGTTCCATTCTGAGTTCACCCGGTGTCCGTTTGCAGATCCTGAGGCTCACTTTCCGGGTTTTCCAATACCGTCACACCAGTAAATAGTTTTTAAAATCTCTGTTCAGTAATACGTTCACATGTTTTACAAAGTTCAGTGTTCCTTCTACCTTGTAACATCTGGTCATTGTTTTATGTATTCTTTCCATCAACCAGATATTTTCCACATTTCCTCTGCATTTAATCATTCACCACTTAATGTGTGTGTTCCGACAGGAAGCTGAAATGTTACGCTCCATCTCTTTTCATCCTTCCGGAGACTTTATACTTGTTGGGACTCAGCATCCTACCCTTCGGCTTTATGATATCAACACGTTTCAATGTTTTGTCTCTTGCAATCCTCAAGATCAACACACCGATGCTATATGCTCTGTTAATTACAATCCCAGTGCCAATATGTACGTAACCGGTAGCAAGGACGGCTGCATCAAGCTGTGGGATGGCGTTTCAAATCGATGCATCACAACTTTTGAGAAAGCGCATGACGGTGCTGAGGTTTGTTCGGCCATTTTCTCCAAAAATTCCAAATACATTCTCTCCAGTGGAAAAGACTCTGTAGCTAAACTTTGGGAGATATCAACAGGACGAACGCTGGTCAGATACACAGGTACGCGAAAAGTTGCTGTTACTTCACATTTCCGTAGCATTCTTTGGTTTCCAGAACTCTTAAATCCCCACAAGAGAGCCACGCAATGAATGTCTGCATTGAGCAAGGCAGATGCTCTCCCTCTTTTAGACAGGAAACCGAGGCTGAGAGATTAAGTAGTTTAGCCCAGGCTATCGTGGTTAAGAGCTAGAACAGACCCTTGGTTTCTGAACTGTGCTTCTCAGTATGTTACAGCTTAAACTAGATGAGATCTCATTCCAGCAACATGTGAGAGTCTGGTGGTCCTTCCATAGACCAGGGGTCTGCCCTTTTCCCTCAGAAACATGAAAGGGGTCCAGAGAGAAGCCCGAGTCAGTGGATCTCAGTAAGTGTATGCATTTGGGAAGGAAGGTGGAGAGGGAAGACCTGGGCCTGTCCATAAGAGAGCACGGGCAGCCCTGACAGTTCCTAGGTAGTGACTCTTCTCAAAATATCATCTAATTCTTCTTATCTCGGAGCAGCAGAGGCTGTTGTTGGGTAGAACACCTCCAGGAAACTTCAACTAGTTTCCTGTGTTGGGAGATGTTTGTGTCATACACTAAAATCACCATGTCCAGAACTTTGAAACTCTGCAGGAACGCAGTGCCACTGTAATTGCTCTCCTGGCTGTGACGGTAATCGCTTCTCCTTCTAGAGAAGATTGAAGAGGCAGAGACCTCTGAGCCACTAGGGTGCAGCGTAACCCACCTCACAGCCGCCTTCTAGTGACAGTTTGCGGCCTGCCTTCCATCTCTGGCTTCTGAGCCAGACCGTCCATACAGCTAGCAGGTCTTTGGAGGAGACATTTTTGTCCTAATTCTTGGTGACTTTGTTGAAGCACTTTTGTAGGGAGCTAGCTAGAAAATTTGTCTCTGATTATTACTGTTAAAGGACTGTGTGCTTGTTGCAAAAAGAAGATCCAGCGCTGATCAGAGTAAAAGTGGGAGAGCCTGGTCTGTGTTCAGCAGTGACAGCCACTGTCTGGGTGTGGCGTGTGTGGAGGGCAGGCTAGACCCTCACAGGGCTTCTTACACTCCTTCTGTCCTGTGAGTGGCAGCGTGTTTTATGCTTGTACCCGGCTGCCAGGCTTGCTTTGGCCGAGAATTGGGATTTGATTTTAAAATGAGATTCTACTGAATTTATATGCAAATTCCCTCATTTTCTAATTCACAGCCTGAGACCCCATCATTTCAGCATGTTTAGGGTCTGTGTTTCCAGTTTTAATGTTGAGTTAGAATTCAGTGGGTTTTTGAAGTAAGGAAAGACAAGGAAAAGCTATCAAGCATCAGGAATTCCAGTGTTCCAGTGTAAAAATTCAGAATACTAAATAAAATGGTGAACTAGGGACACAGGGTAGCTTGTATAGCAGGCGCATGTCTGATACTGGGCAGTGAGCTTAAGGAGCGATAGGTGACCATCAGTTCTCTAAACCTAAGAAATGCCCATGGAAGTATCTTTTTGTGCTCCTCAGTTGGTAGGAGTTTAAAAGATGATATTCTCTTGTATTGAACAACAGTTGGGGAAATTACATATTTTGTTGTTAAGGGGTGTTGATTGGAAACTTTCTCAAGGGGAGGTTGGTGTCACGTATCACATTTTTCAGCATATGTATATATTTTGGACTCAGAAATTCAGCCTAAAAAGGTTGTTGGCAAGCACATCCGCGCACAAGAAAGACGTCCGTCCCACCGTTATCTAGGTAGGGGAGCGCTGCAGACGGCAGTGTGCACACTTGTCACACGTCCTTTTCACAGCGTGCGGCCTTTAGAAATAAATACAGCAACGTCTGGGAGCACGTGTGTAGCTGACGTGCCCTGTACCTCAGGCTGGTCCTCGCAGCCATCTCGTGGGCTGCGTTGTCCCCCAGGAACAGAAGAGAAAGTTAAGGCTTAAAGGTGCTACGTAGTTTGCCTGTGTTCACGTCACTAGTAAGCATTGAACCCAGATCTGGCGCCAGCGCCTGTGGTTTTATCCATCAAACCGTATTCCGTGTTTATAGATCTCTCCTACCTACTGCTGAGTAAAAGGAGCAGGTGATGTGAGCTCTGACTTCTATAAGTCACAAATGGCCTACAGGAAGGATAGTCATCAAAATACTGACTCCGGGTGTGGAATTGTCAGGAACTTTTTCTTTTTTACACTTTGTATGATACTTTAAGCATAAAATCTGGATTTTCATGGTCCTAAAAAAGCCGAGAGCTTCTTTTTGGAGGTGGATGTTCAAACACCCCAGCAGCTCTGTTCTAGGGATTCAATCCTGAGGAAACAGTGTGTCCTGTATGAAGAATCTGTCACAGCATCACTCACAGCCAGATACAAACTAAATGCCCAGCAGGAAAAGAAGTACTAAATAGCGATGGTGCTTCCAGACAGTGGTGTAGTCTGCAGCCGCTAAACACCAGGAAAAATGTACCTAACAAAAAGTTGGTTTAAACTGGAACAGAAAACACCTGTATAACGTGGTACCAATTTTCTATTTTATTATTATTTTTTTAGTGTTTTATTTATTTTTTAGAGAGCGAGAGAACACGGGCACGGGAGGGGCTGAGAGTGAGGGGGACACAGGGTCCGAGGCGGGCTGTGTGCCGAGAGCAGCGAACCCGATGTGGGGCTTGAACACCCGAACTGTGAGCGAAGTTGGACGCTCAACCAGCCAAGCCACCCGGGTGCCCCGGTATTTTTTTTTCCCTTAAGATGTTCCCAGGCCTGGAGGTACATCAGAACGTCAGCGGAGCCTGAGGTGGTAGGTCGGCGGCGATTTACTCCTGCATACTTCCCCGGAGTGTCCAAAGTTACACAATAAGTGTGTATTATGCGGTCTTTACATCGAGAGGATAACGGACGAAAGCCCGCAGTGTGAGGGTCCGAAGTGCCGCCCCGGGGAGCCGCCCTCCACCTGCCCCCTAACCTCTCGTATCTGTGCAGGTGCTGGCCTGAGCGGGCGCCAGGTGCACCGGACGCAGGCTGTGTTCAACCACACCGAGGACTACGTGCTGCTGCCGGACGAGAGGACCATCAGCCTGTGCTGCTGGGACTCCCGCACCGCCGAGCGCCGGAACCTGCTGTCCCTGGGCCACAACAACATCGTGCGCTGCATCGTGCACTCGCCCACCAACCCCGGCTTCATGACGTGCAGCGACGACTTCCGAGCCCGGTTCTGGTACCGGCGATCGACCACGGACTAGCCCGCCTCCCGTCCCTGGGCTCCCTTCCTCGGGCCTCGCCCCTGCCCCCCGCCGGGTCCCGTCACCAGCTTCGGTAGTGAGTCACTGCGCCATCTGGCGGCCGTGCTGCCACCTGTCCGTCCTCGGATTTGTACAAAAGGATCTTTTTTTACCTTGATGTAGAATCATGGTGGGAAAAGTTGGAAGCGCAGATCTGTGCGGTTGCTCGCGTTCACTGATTATTCCAGTGTGATTCTCGTCGGTTTTGTAAATACAGGACTCGCCACTTCTCTGGACTCGTGATCATTTGAGGAAGGCTAGAGCGTTAAAGTGCTTTCTAGATCTCAAGCGGACCTGTCGTGAGGGATTTTCACCCGGCGGTCCTGCCCGCCCCTGTGCCTCCTCTGCACCCTCCTTGCGTATCTCCCTTCCGAACAGTTGAGGCAGGTGAGCAGGCCTGCGGCTCGGATCCAGATCGCCGTGCCACCTTGAAACCAGTTTAGAGAATCCGCCAGCCCCAGCCTAAAATGATACCATTCTGACAATAAAGCTCAGATCTGCAACCTTAGTCTTATACCTTTTTCACTTCAATAAAATTAATGGCCACTTTTTCCTGGAGATTTCTAGGAGATGTATCTTTCATTGTACTTCCCACCTTCTTTCATTCCCGCAGTGCTTGTCTTCTGTAAAGGTCTCTGATAAGGTTCTTGCCAGTGGATGGAGCGCGTAATTGAAGATAAGCATAGTGAGCCCGCTGCTGCTCTTGGGCCATAGCTTAATTCACAGATGATTGACTTTGTTCTTACATAATTCTAAATCTTACTTCTCAGTTCTCTTCAGCATGAATTGCTCACTACTCATCGTGGATGCACGTGGCAACTATGTTCTGGGAAGATTTTTGCAATTAGCCATCTGATCGGGGTTTTCTCTTTCTTGAAATTTTATAGAAAGTGACAGTATTTCTCTGGATTCAGCTCAAGCTAGGTCAGGGAACCCTAATGTCCCTCTGAAAGATTGACTTTGGTCTGTGTTTATCCCCAAATGCAAATACCTCACACTCTGGGTAAGAATACCTAGAAATATAACCTACGATCATTTGATAAAAATATTAACTAGATTAAAGTTAAAGCAATTGTTTCATGTTACAGGAACTTTCAAGTCTTCTGAAGTTCATTGCCTGAAAATTCCGTTAGTCATCCTCCATAAGGGTCATTTCAACTCTTTGGCCTGTGGACCCGTTTGAAGCATTCTTCATGTGTTGGATCCATTTTCCTTCAGGTTTCCAAAGAGCTATGTTTTTTGGTCTATAGTGAGTTTAGACTTAATTTTGTTTGGCGTCCTGATTCTTCAGTGTTTGCACTCGGCCGTCTATGGGTGCAGCTTTTGGAGGAGAAACCTACTGAGTGGGAACAAGGATAAAGGTCCCATAAAGAAATTACCAACCAAAAGTCCTCACTTCTTTCTCTGGCTTTTGTTTTGCCTTCAGGGCACGGAAGCACAGCCGAGGCGAACAGTTCCGGTCCCTCTCCCTCTCCCCTAGCACGTGCGCCCGGAATGGCCACGTTGCATTCCTGATTTAAGTGCCACTGGGACTTTTTAACTGTTCATGAATTTAAATAATAATAATGCCTACTTTTTCCAGTTTCTGGAATAGTCTCAGCCATGGATCTGAAGTTTCAGGACTTCTGTCTACAAGATCAAGATACTTCTGTGTGTTTCCAAAACAGACACATTTTTGTCTTTTAAAAATCACACTAACATTCTGAACTGTTAAGAATGCCAGGAATTACATGGACTCGGCATCAGTATGTCATTAACTGCCCCACGTAACACCCTGGCTTTAACGGTGAATCATAGGAACGTAGAACTTCTATGTTATTTTTTAAAGATATGTAATTTCTAAAATAAACTTTTTGTATATAATGATAATTTAACACTAGTTCTTTTTTTTTTTTTTTTGGACCTTGCTTTGAATGTTTACATATTTGAACGTGTGTTTTCAAACAGCAGTCAGTCGTGACTTTGGACTGGAACCTTTCATGCTGTTCTTTTAGTGTTTCATTCTAGAAGTCGGATTTTTAGAGCAGATCCCCTTTAGCCTTGTATCTCTTCTGCTCTACGAATCTAAAAACTAAAAAATTTAAAGTATAACTCCATTTCTTTTGTTGATTCTGAGACACCAGTCTTTTGCCTTAAACTTTGGTTTCCCCTCAGAAGGGCAGTGATGTGGGGAAGTGGAGGCAGTCTCAGCTCTGTGACCGACCAGTTAGTTAAGCAAGTCATTTCCATGCTCAAGTGCTTCATCAAAATGGTCCCTAGCGTGCACTCAACCAATGAGGTGCTTTTTTTTTTTTCTTGTAAACACAGCACGATAGAAACAGATTTGGGGGAAGAGGAAGGCATTTACTTTTGAGGGACTTCTGCTTCTGAAGATACAGTGGACCAGATACTCAGAGCCCTTTCAGTATGCACCCGCATAGACTTTATTTTTAATCTCTAAATAGACGGCTGAGCCAGCAAGAAGTCCTCAGGCAATTCCTGGGAGGCAAAAACAAGCAGATAGCACAGATCTAGACGATCAGGACCGGTGGGGCATCCAGTTGAACCAAGGACTTCTGTCGCTCCCCTGGAGCCTAATGATTTCTGAGCTCTGGCCACACGGTGGGAGCTTTGGTAAGATCTAGAAAGAAAGCCCAGAACCCAAAAGGTACCCCCCTCCCCAACCCGAAAGGGTGAACTTCCCAAAAGCCCTGCCTCCGGGGAAGAGGACACCTGCCTGCCCCGGCCCTGGCTCAGGTTTGTGGGAAGGGTCTTCCGAGAATCCCGTCTACAGGCTCTCTGTCCAAGTAAGGTGGGAACGACTCTCAGCACCTATGTGGCTTGGAGAAAACCAAACTGAGAATTTAAAGCAGCTCCCATTGACGGTGGCCAAGAACACCCGAGAGAAGCCAGCAAAATTAAGGAAGAACAGCTCTTTCCCCCAGGCCTCCGTTCTCACAGATACAGCCCTATGAATCATGGGCTCATAATCGAGTATCTGAGGAAACAACCACCGTGAGGAGAAGCCATAGAAACTAGAAACGAGTCACTTGGAGACTTGGAATCCTCAGATGCACAATATGTGAGTGTGTCCGACAGGATCTCAAATGGGACCGAAGACAGAGACTTTAGGAAGTGACCAAGTGGATTTAAGCAACAAAACCTTTTGGGAAACGGTCCTTTCTGTAGCTTTCATTCCTCATGCTTTTGGCCTTTCCCTGGAGCTTTTCTCCTTTGTCTTCCGACTGCCTCGGTGGGCGTTCTAGTCTGTGAAGCCTCTCCCACTCGCCATTCGGAGAGTTTACTCTTCACATTCTGGCTGCTCACCCCACGATGACACCTTGGCGTGGGGCACCATTTTCTGCCCTGGGTTTTCTGCTCCCTTTAACACCTGGCCCTCACCCAGTGGTCCCCTCGACACCCAAAACATTTCCTTTGCATCCTGTGTCTCAAGTCTTGCACCGATTCCTTTTCCCTCTCAACCTTGGGATCGAAATTCAGGCTATGAAACTGAGTCGTCATTGACCATTATTGAAGCTGTAGAATCCCAGTCTTCCCTGTTTTATCTATGCATTAGGGAATTTAGCTGAATTTGTTGACAACTGATGAAATTCTACTTTGACCAAAAGAGCTGTACTAGAGTTATCTTCATGAGGTTACAACCTACCAGATTATCGGATAATTTTAAAGCCGCGCAGTCTGACATTTCCTGCCAAGCCTTTAATGCTCTGCACATTGTTCCCCTGGTGCCCAGCTGCACTTTAAAAGGTCAGGTATTGGGGCTCCTGGGTGGCTCAGCTGGTTAAGCATCAGACTCTTGATTTGGGCTCAAGTCATGATCTCATGGTTCACGGGATCCTGTCAGCCTCCACGGTGACCGTGCAGAGCCTGCTTGGGACTCTCCCTCTCCCTCTCTGTCCCTCCCCCACCCTCAAAATAGATAAACATTAAAAAAAAAAAGTATTGAGTGCCTAGCCTTCAAAGACTGCCCTCAGGAAGCTTCATAGCTAAAAGTCCATGTGAAAACAGTTAAGACATACCAAACGACAGTCCGTGTACAAAAGCAGTCTTTAGGAGTGAAGTGATCTTTATTAGGAGCTTTTGGTGTGAAGTGATCAGATGCCCTACATTTTGAAGAGAAAATTCATCCAAAATGCTGTGCTCAGTAGCATTCATCAAGGGGCAAAATTACCACATTAGAGTCTCTCCACCTGGGTTCCCTTGAACTCTAGCTGTTTCAGCTTTCAGTCACTGGGATATTACGAAAGCCACCCAGTTTCCTGGAATAGTGAAATCTTGCAATGTTTGTGCACAGAAGGACGCATTTGCTTTAAGAAGTAAATACAAACGTCTAAGGGCTTTCATTCAGAAAAATGACAGGACCAAATACCAAACTGAGAAGCCAAGCCCCTCATTCACAAAACACCACACTATGTGCCCAGGCAGGAGTGAGCCTGTTTCACTACAGGATCAGACCTACGGCTTTTGTGTCTTCATTGTTTTTGGGGGTTTTGGGGTTTTGTTTTTGTCTTTTTGTTTTTGTTTTGAGAAAGAGCGGTGAGGAGGAAGAGAGAGAATCTTAAGCTCCACACCCAGTGTGGAGCCCAACATGGGGCTCAATCCCGTGACCGTGAGATCATGACCTAAGCCAAAACCAAGAATCAGACACTCAACCTACTGAGCCACCCAGGTACCCCTACATTCTGGTTTTTTTTTTAACTTTAGGTTGCCCCCCCCCACCCCCCCGCCAAAAAGAGGAGGAGGCGGCGCGCAAGTCAGCATTCCAATCTGGGCTGAACCCAGGTCAGCCCTTCAGTGTGGGGAAGAATCACAGTCGGAAGTTTGCCAAGGTGGTGGGAACAGTCCAAACTGGACCAGGTGTGAAGTCTACCTTTTTTCTAAGTGACCTGAGTCCAGAGTCTGCCTCAGTCACATCACCGCATGACCTTGAGCAAGTCTGCCCATCCTTTCATTTTTGCTTTTTTTTTTTTTTCCCAGATATATGCGAGAGTCAATCACCCAGGAAAAGAGTGGTTGCCGGGGGCCAGGGGAATGAGGAGTGACCAACGGGTACGGGTTTTCTTTCTAGAGTGATGAAATATTCTCCAGTTAGATAATGGTGATGGTTACACAACTCTGAAGATACTAAAACACACTGAAGTGTACTCTTTAGAAGGATGCATTTTGTGGTATGTGACTTGTACCTTAATAAAGCTTTTATTTTTTTAATTCAATGTCCATAGCACAGTACAATGAATTTCCATGTAGCCATCACCCAGATTCCCCAATTTGCTACTTACTCCTAGCTAATCTTTTTTTTTTATTTATTTTTTTATTTTTTTTTATTTCTAGGAGAGAGAGCGTGAGCAGGGGAGGGTCAGAGAGAGAGGGAGTCACAGACTGAAACAGGCTCCAGGCTCTGAGCTGGCAGTCAGCACAGAGCCCGACACGGGGCCGGAACCCACCAACTGCGAGATCATGACCTAAGCTAAAGTCAGACGCTTAACCGACTAAGCCACCCAGGCGCCCCTACTCCTAGCTAATCTTATTTTATCTATACCTCTATCCACTTTCCCCTCTCTTGAATTCTTTTGAAGTAAATCTCAGATTTTTATCTGTAAATATTTCAGTATATATCTCTGAAGGATAAGGACTTAAAATTTTTTTATAACATTTTTTTATTTTTGAGAGAGACAGAGCATGAGCGGTGGAGGGGCAGAGAGAGAGGAAGACACAGAATCCGAAGCAGGCTTCAGGCTCTGAGCTGTCAGCACAGAGCCCGACATGGGGCTCGAACTCATGAACCGCAAGATCATGACCTGAGCCGAAGTCAGACACTTAAACCGACTGAGCCGCACAGGCGCCCCTAGGACTTTTTAAAACAGAATCATAAGATAATAACATCTAAGTATATATAGAAGCATCAAATTTCGGTTAATAGATACCCACCCTGGAAACATGAACCTCAGCCTTAGCTCAGTAGTGCCTCCATCTTCTTCATCTGCTATTTTGTAGACGCCTTTGGCTTACAGATATGACTGGCTGTATGCATCACAAGAGTATTGCGTTAATGACTTATTTGTCTTACCTATAAAGACAGCATAAAATCCTTCTGCTAGTCCACGCTGTCTGTCATTCACAACTTCAGCCCTTATGACTCATTACTCTTTCCTCTGAATCTTGCTTTCCTTAAATGGAACTTGCTAATTCCATCTCTCTTTCTCTCTCTCTCTCTCTCTCTCTCTCTCTCACTCATATTCATGCTGTTACAACTAGGAAAAAGCTTTGCCTCTATAGTGATCTGCCTCCGCCTCTCACATCTTGCCTTCCTCATGAAGACTTCCCTAAATCACTCCCCATTCTCCCATCTCTGCCTTCCCCTCTAGGGATCTCCACTTTGAACTTGGCGCAAGTCAGTTTGTCTCCATTCTGTGGGGCAAATGTTCCCTCCCTGTTATCTGCTCCCGTCAGCAACACTTCAATTACTCAGCCCCAGAAGCTAACTTCCAACAATGACAACAATTTAAAATATGGATTGTCTCGGCCAGAAATCAGTCAGCCTGCCATTTCCAGGAGTAAACCCCTTCCTGGTGCTCAGACTTGTGAGGACTGGCTACACAGCAGTGGATGCCCCACAGACCAGACAGTGAGCGCTGCACTTGCAGGAAGGCAGCGATGGGAGAGCCCACCGAGGCAGGCTCGGAAGAATGGGGACCAGTCTGTTTCAATGAAATAACAGTGGGAATGTGCTCTGCAAGGAGTCTGCCTTCCCGTGCATCTTCTCTCAACGCTGAGGACGCTGAACTGCACGAACTAGTGCCATAACTTCAAGTTCACACAGGGGGTGGATGAGATTTAAGAGAGAATATGATTGTACTGAGAGGTGCCCAGCACAGCCCTGGTACAGAGTCAGCACTCAGAAGATGTTCGCTGTGGAGTGTGGTGAGCAAAGACCAGGAGGTGGGTACGGGGTGAGAGCGCGGAGCAGTGTGCCTCCGAGGAAGGAGGAGTTGGGACTGGGTCCTTTAAGGCATTCTCCTTGACTTGTTTTCCCCCGGCTGCTTGCAGGACAAGTTGAGGAAGCAGGAAGAAAGAAACACTGACCATGGTCACAAATTTAACCCAGTGGCCTCTAATCAGGAAAATGAGCTTGGTGTGTCGGGTGGAAGTTGTTCACAGTGTTTGTGGGACGAGAATGCAGAGCGCTCGCACACCGAGCTTTGAAAGCAGGAACTTCGCCCTATAAAGCAGAAGAGTGGGTTTTTTTTCTTCGCTTGTGGTTTTGCATAGCAAATGTGTGACAATCATCTCTACTTATAGACCAACTGAGATGTCAGGCATCGAAGAGTGAGTGTGGCCTGGATTTCTGTCCCCTCTCCGTCAGCCCTTTCATTTTACTCTTATCGTGCTTTCCAGAAACTTTGCCTGCTGGGAGAATCGTTGTGACAATTTCCCGTGTTGTCAGATAGCTCCACAGAATTCAGTTTCTGAGAACCAGCCAGAGGCATGCAGTGACATTGCATAATCCCTCCTCTGAAGCCGGAGATATTAGCCGGAGAGCTCACGGGAGCTGTTTCACACCAGCATGAAAGGAGCAGAGATCATGGATGGAGCACCCAGGGTGAGTGATGGGGGCTCTTTGGATGGGCGGTTCACAAAGCAACCCGTTATGGCTAAAGACAATAACCGACTTTACTTCCAAGTTTCTAATGAAGTCGAAGGGTGAATACCAGTAACATGTAAGTTTGAGATGGAACAGTTTAATAGAAGTCTCCGTGTGGAAAAGCTGTGTGCTCTAAAGCCCCTGACCAGTTGGATTCAGAGATGGATGAAAATGACTTCCTCGCAGAAAGCAGTTTGTGGGTCTGATAACACAATCCATCCCTTTGGGTCCACTCACCTTCTTGCCAACTTCACAAGCAAGAAGCGAGTCTCGGCCTCCGAGCTCACCCTGACCTCTCCTCTCTCTGGAGCCTCAGATGCTTAGTGTCACGCCCAGGTTGATTCTGTGCTCCTTCCCCAGAGCAGAGTCCAGATCTGGCCCTTAGCCTCCCATGCTCCTACAGGGGGCATTCTGCATGCTGTTTCCCGGTAATTTTGTACTGATCCGTGTGAGTGAGGCTCAGGTCTGTGGCATGTATCAAAAAAGTTTCGCTATCTAGAAAGTTGTCATGGCTGCTTAAAAAGAAAATTAGCTCAGACAGAAAGAAACTAAAGCTCAGGATTATCTTGCTAGACCTTTTCTAAACCTTAAGTTGTACAGGAAAGAAAATGAAACAGTTACTAAATGGGAAACTTGTTTGTATGAAGTAAATATATGCTATTGATTGTTAAAGTAATAATAATGGATGTCACTAGTGGAATTTACCGCCGAGTAGCCTGTGACGCCTCTTTTATGGCTTGTGTATAAATATCTAAGCTACGCTAGAATTTTGTACCCACACTGTTTCTTTGAAAAATGTTTAAACCATTGGAACACTGCGGGGGGGGGGGGAGTAATTCAGTAACCCCCTGTGTATCTTTCACCTAGATTCACTGATTCTTGGCACTTTGTCACATTTGTCTGCATCTATTTGTGTATATTATACACACACACACACACACACACACACTTTGTTGTTGCTGTTGTTAAACCACCTGAAAACAAACTGTAAGCATAATGAGCCTTCACCCCTAAAAACAGCAACATGTGTCTCCTAAAAACAAGGACATTCTTCCACACAACCCCAATGTGATCCCACACAAGAAAATTTAACGTCGACTTAATAATGTCCTTCTAAACACTCAATCCGCATAAAGGCAGTAAGTACTAGGGCAGGAACTCACGTCTTCAACTCCTAGTCTAGAGGCCGCCTCAGCTCAGGGTTTCTCGGGTCCCCCTACAGAATGGTCAATGCCCATGTCAGATACAACACTTTTTAAAAGGCTTTATGCAAATAGGAGCAGTAACTGAACCATTGTCGGGCTTCTTGCCTTTTACAATTAACAATACATACCAGAGTTCTGTGTATGTGAGCACAATTGATCTCCTTGATTATCGCTAATTGCTGTTTTATTAAATGGTCACACACTGCTGTCAGGGGTCATCCTCTGTAAGTGGTTCTCAGCTTTGGCACATTTCACTTTGAGGCACCTTCATGTTCAACCAAGGGCACCCCGGAGCCCCTCTCATACCTTGAAGGTGGGCTGAGGACAGCAGGTGGCGACCACCAATTGCTCTGTCACGCTGTCCCGTCCGTGGCGCTGTTGCTTTTTGTCACCCGACAGTTTCATGTCGGTAGAGCATTCACCTTTGTGTAGTTGTGTGCTTTTCATTGGGTTTTCCCTGACATCTTATAAACCAAGAGAAAATGGAAAAATAAACATGATGATGTTAGTGACGGGACATGCTGGGCTCCCGCGGCGCGGTTGCAACAGACATTGAAGCCGTCACATGTGGCCAAGTAGCCAGGCTAACACCTCATTTGTTGGCTTACTGGACTGTAGCTGATTGATTCCATGTCCAACTCCATTCAAGAAAGTCAAGTCTAAAAGACCAGGTGTATAAGTGATTTTATTATATGTAAACCTTTGTTTCGGATTTTGGGTAGTTTGAAAAAGTGCCTTGTTTAGGAAAATGGAGTCTGCGTGTACTTTAGTGATGCAATCCCATTTGTTACAAAATGCGTTGACTTCTGAATATGCACGTGTGTGTGCCCACGTGTGCACACGAATGCACACCATTAGAAGTGATGTTGAAATTAGCATCTTTGTCTCACTCGGGGTAAATGTCTAGGAACTGACGGAGGATTAGAGAGTCAGAGAAGCATGGTATTTGTTTTCCTTCACTTTCCAAGAATGTCTGAAATCTGATTCTATTTTGTTATTTTTAATTTTTTTTTATAGTTTATAATGTTTATTTTTAAGAGAGAGAGAGCTTGCGCATGCACCCGCGCAAGTGGGGGAGGGGCAGAGAGGGGGTCAGAGGGTCCCAGGTGGGCTCCGCACTGACAGCAGAGAGCCTGATGCGGGGCTCCAGTTCACAAACCTCAAGAGCATGACCTGAGCCGAAGTCAGATGCTTAACCAACTGAGCCCCCCTGAAATTCTATTTTAAACCTACTTTCTCAAAGTATTTTCTGTACAACCTATACTTTCTCTTTTGTAAATACGGCTGTATGCTCACTTGCTTTTCTGAGGGAGTTTTCAAACAAGTGTCTTTCCCCTCGTTACTGAAGAGAATTTATCAAAATAATATTTATGTTTTAAGCATATTTACATATTCTCAGGTATTGTTAACAGTCCGGATTCAGTCTCAGTTAAAGAGCAAATGTCCTTTAGCCGTCGTGCATCCCAGCTCTGGGGGGAGTGGTCCTAGAGCCCTTCCGGCGGGGGGTCACAGTAAAGACTTAGAGGTAGAATCATCACCGACAGACCCAACGGCGATCGATGCGTCTGCTGGCGCAGCCTCCGCGGACTTCAGGGCTCCTGGGCAAGAGCGCTCAGGACCTCAGGGCCTTGTTTGTGGGCGGGAAGAAATCGCAGGCTCTCTTCGTGCCTTTAGCACCTCTGGGAGCAAGACATCTTAACTCAGTCCTTGTGGAAGAAGGACAAGTGGGATTGTGTGCAGAGAACTCACCAAGGCCACAAGGTGTGCCTGACCCCCTCCCCACAACCCCCACCACACTGCCTGCCCCTTCCCCCACCTTGGGACGTTTATCTAGGGGGCCGGGTCCTGTGGGTCCTCCCCACCAGCATCTTCCACACCCACTCGCTCACTCGCTTGCACGCTTGCCTCTCTGGACCGCCCACCCAAGTCACCTCCCACACCCTCCCTGGTCTTTCTCATTCTCCGTCTCGTCTTCACTTATCAACTTCATTTATCAACGGCTGAAATCATCTTTCTCAATTGTCCCCTTTATCATCACGTGTCTTCCCCTCTGGAGAGTCAGCCCCACCAGGGACAGAGCTGGCCTTTCTCATTCAGTGCTGCGTCTCTGGGGCTACGGCAGCGCCTGCACTTAGTAGGTGCTCAGCAAACACTTGGAGTGTGTGTGAATGAATGGGAGGTTACAGAGAGTGCAGACGGAGCTCTTGCGACATCACCCCGCCCTGCCACAAGGTCAGGCACGGCACTTCCTAGTTGTCACAGCACTGGGAACCGAGGCTGCCCCTGACTCTAAGCTCCCTAACCCCTACCTGGCCCCAACCTGAGCCACTCAGCCTAGATTCTTGAGAACCAACTCCCTTCCTGCTCCCATGGTCAGATGTTGCCTTATATCTGAACCTTTGCAGTTGAGGTCAAGGTCACAAGGACCTGTGGCCTCCCTCTAACCTTGCCCAGCAGCTCCATCCCTTCACCTGCCTCACAAGACAAAAGAGCCCAGACACAACAGCCAGCTGGAAAACACAATTCACTGCCCATTGTTTAGCCGTCCTTCCAGCACGTAGCTATTGGGCCCTGCGGTTCAGATGATCAACACATCGCTGATATTTGAGTGCAGTCAGGAAGTCGGTAAATGCGTAAATGGACACAATGATTTCAGGTGGTGATAACCGCCATGAAGAAAATAAAACAAGGCGATCTGATAGAGGTGATGGACAGAAAGGGCCTCTCTGGAGACCTGAATGAAGACAGAAGCAGTCAGGGCAGAGGAAATAGCAAATGCAAAAGCCCTGTGGTGGGAATTAATTCAGCATGTGGAGTAGCCATAAGAAGGCCAGTGTCGTTGGAGCACAGGGACCGAGAGAGAGAGTGAGCAGAAATGAGAGCGGAGGGGTAAGCGGGACTCTGTTCCCATAGGACTTTGTCAGTCCCGGAAGAACGCCGAAGTGCATTCTAACTGCAAAGGAAGCCACTGGCCTATTTAAAGCAGGGGATGACATGGTCTGGCTTATGTTTTAAGAGATCACTCAGCTGCTACAACAGAGGGTCTGTGGGCAAGGAGCAGAAGCAGTGCGATGTCAGGAGACCTGGGCGCGCGGCCTCTCTTTCCGTGTTAGATGCTGCCATGCTGTTCTCAATGGACACGGGCGAGCATTGCTTGCCCCTCTTTTCAAAAAGGAAAAGAAAAAAGAAACTTTTGACATTTGAGACTGTCAGGAGATGTGAACAGAAAGAATAGTAAATAAAGGTGTAAATGGTTTTGTTGAACTACGTGCGCTATACACCTTCGGTCTTTTTTTTTTTTTTTTTTGGAAAGTGATGTTTGTTTTCTACCAACCCTATTTCCATTTTCCGTTGAGACAATATACCTTTCATTCGTCCCACAAATATCGAGTGGCTGCTCTGTGCCAGGCACCGTTCTAAATGCCACAGAGAACACAGTGTCTAGGTCCCTATCTCAATAAAATAAACTGTCATTTTAATTAATAGAAATGTAATATAAAAAGCATAATATATAATATAATATAAAAACATTATATTATCACTTCTGTTTAAAAACTTTTATTTTCTTAACGTTTTAATTGCTGTAGAGCTCACTACTAAAAAAAAGCTAAGCAGACCACCATCACGACCCCCAAAGTCACCAGGCTAGGCAAAGGAAAGTGGCCTACATGATGATCAAATGGGGAAGCAGCCGTAGAAACAGAACGTGGTCATTTTGGAAATAGAATGACTAAGGGAGGAAATGACAAGTCC